CAAATTCCTCCCCCCCCCCCCCCCCAACTTCATGTTGCTGCATAATCACTTATCTGGGGTAAACTACAGAAACTGGGATGTCACTGTTTATACTTCCAGCCTCTTATCTACTCTTTTTACAAAAACCAGATATTCTTGAGTTTAAACGGCCTGAGCGCAAGGCAAGTGCTTTGACCCTGCCCGAGGGTAGAAGCGTGTCCCGAGAGCTGTGGGTGCCAGCAGAAGGAGGCTCTTGCAGTTCACAGCTCTCCCCCTTGCCGAGCTGCCAGCCAGCTCTGGAAGCGGGCGGATTCTGCCCAGCAGAATCTGCAGTACAGAAATGCCCCAAAAGACCCAAATACTGACAAGGTCAGGTTTCTGTTTCCATGAGCAACTCAATCCAGTTGGAGCTCACACCTGCAGTAACTGTGGTAAAGGACACTACTTGGGTACAAAAAATAATCATACAGCAAGGTTTGGGAGCTTAGAAAGGAATAAATTAGGGACCAGACTGACAGAACTTCTCGGGCCTGTCCCCCCACTGAACTGCAGGTGCCCGTTTGTCCCAGACAGTCCCTGTTTTGTCTCTACCTCGGGGGAGAGATTCCTCTACAGGTCGGTCCTTCTGCCCCCCCTGCTACTACAGGCTACAAAGGAGGCTGGCCAGGAGAGCAGTGCCAGAACTCCGGGTCCCAGCAATGTGGAGAAGAGTAAGGACTGCGCCTGCTTGTTAAAACTGACAGCATGTGAGCCAGTCTTGGATAGAGAGACTGTTTTTTTTTCTTCTGAAAAAAACAGGCAGCTAACTTTCCTGCTAAGGAAGATCATCATCAGGGAATTGCTAACCACCCGGTAGCACTTAATTTTCAGGGGAGACTTCAGCATTAGATCTCATTTTGAAAACTGAAAAAGGCAATTAACACTGCCTTTAACCAGTTCATCCAGTAACATCCTAACACCAGACATCGCAGGGAGAAAAGGGAGGGGTTCTGGAGGGGAGAGGGGCCGTAGGCCAACTCCATCCTCTCCCCTCTGCGAGCAGTTTCACACCAGTATCCGCTCCGCTGCTAGGACGATTTAAAGGACACTTCACCAACCATGCTATTGAAGCCCTCCTTTCCCAGAGTTGTCTTCAGCGTTGGTCTGACCAGAGGCAAACCCTTCGGACCGGTTAGTGCGGACGGCTGCTGGACTCCAGGTGGGAGCGTTTGCCGGCCGCTAGCACGCTGCCGCTCTCTGCTTGTTCAGGGAATGGGCGCTTGTAGGTCCGACCGTGTCCGTTCATCGCCCCTCGCTGCCACTTGCAGATGTCTCCATTTAGGATGTCTTGAATGTGCTGCACTATGAGGTTGATAGCAACTGCAGGAATGGGAAACAGAACACGTAGGCTTTCTTGGCCGAGCCATCTAGAAAATGTGGAGCATCCCGCCCTGTCCAACCCACATTTTAACAACAAGCCCTTAAATGAAACTATGCCTGCCCTCTGCAGTGAGGTCAGACCTCGACAGAAACCAGCAACTGCCAAGAGCAGCTTTAATGCTGGCGTCCTGCTTTGCATCTCCCGTCGCGCGTCGCTTTTTCCAGCCCTGCACAGGTCATCCCGGTCAGGCTCCAAGCAGCTCCCTCCCCTGCAGCCCTCCAGCAAACCCCCTTTCCTCAGAAGCAGGCAAACAAGGCCATGGTGTGCCACCTGCTCTCTTCCCAGCCCCCAAGGTGGTCTCCCCAGAGAAACCAGAGAGAGAACCGCACTCCCATTTACCCATGTTGTCAACTCCTCGGGGGATGATCACATCTGCGTACTTCTTTGTCTGCAAAACAGAAATGGCCGTGGAGACTTAACGGAAAAAGCCAGCTTTACTCTAGGAAGAAGCTACCAAATGCCAGAAAGCTGAGGGCAGCGATGGAGGGGTTTCTGTGCTCTGGGAGCGCAAGGTAGAGCTCTCTGTCCTGGTAACGCCTAAACGAATTGAGAAGTCACACTGGCTACCGCGCACTGGAGTTAGGGTCGGGGCTCGCGCTTGCAGCCCCTTTGCAGGTCGGAGCAGCAGGCCAAGCGTGGAGCACTTGGTTTTACGCTGCTGGAGAGCACGCTGCCTTCGGATGGGCCGCCCGCTCCGAGGCCGAGGTCTGCTTGCTGGTTCTGATCAGCATTTCGCAAACCGCTGCTAAACCTCTGCCAAGAGCCAAGGTACCCAGCGTGCGTGTGAAATTCCTTCCTGCCTCTGGTGACATCTTATTGATTTTTACCACCACAGAACCCCTGTTGGGTTTTTTTCTCCCACCACTTACAAAAAGGCTGGCAAATTCAGCATTCCTCATGAGCACTTTTACAGTCCCAGAACTGCTTTGATCTAGAGCAAGAGGTGCCGGAGCAAGCCTTTTCCATCTTACTGAATCCACATTCAGGATTTTGTTCTCAAAGGGTTTTTTTTTTACAAATTAATTTGATTAGGTGAGCATCTAAATTGGCAAACCGCTGCTAAACCTCTGCCAAGAGCCAAGGTACCCAGCGTGCGTGTGAAATTCCTTCCTGCCTCTGGTGACATCTTATTGATTTTTACCACCACAGAACCCCTGTTGGGTTTTTTTCTCCCACCACTTACAAAAAGGCTGGCAAATTCAGCATTCCTCATGAGCACTTTTACAGTCCCAGAACTGCTTTGATCTAGAGCAAGAGGTGCCGGAGCAAGCCTTTTCCATCTTACTGAATCCACATTCAGGATTTTGTT